CGAGCGCCGGATATATCCGGCATCCACATGATGTGTATACAAGTACCATCTGTGGTCAATGACAAATTTTTCGTTATCGGCAGAACGTTTTGAACTGATTTTATTGATATATTCGATTAATCCAATATATCAATAAAGTACACCTACTCTTTGGTGTTATATCAAAACCGCATCCAAAATATCTATCGGATCTTGCGGATTATATTCATTTTTCTACGAATATATATCGTGTTCTATAAGAATTAAGAATAGATCGGCTCAAGGTATTATTCTTTTTTTAAGAATAAAAAATTGTAAATATGTAAATAGCTAAGAATTTGTCAACTGTAATTAGTCTAATGTCTTTAGAGTAACTAATATAATTTTGTTTAACTGTTTTCATATTAAAATGTGAGGAATACATGCTATATTAGAGCAACAACTCTTTTATTAAGCATAGTAATTATTTAAGACTTAAAAAATGTATATACAAAAACCACGCGCACTGTGCACATTTCTGGCGCGTGCTTCCGTACGGTGACGACACTCGGCGGACCGGACTGCCGAAGCAAAAGGGTTAAACCGGGCATTTCACTTGAAGACCTTGTTGCGGCTTAAACAATCGTCACCATACGCAGTTTTCAACAATTCTAATGTTTCCTAACCACTTTTTTCCAATTTGAAATGAAGTTTGACAACGGCGTGTTACTCCATTGCGAAAGTTGTAACGCAATAACAGAAACACTTCTACTTCAAATGAGCACAATTCGGCACTAAATGAAGTTACAGTGCTGAAATCTTAATTATTTATAATTAAGGAATGATATTACATTGTTTCGCTGTCGGGTAACAAATAAAACTAATTGTAGATTTTATACAAAATTAGTCGCAGAACTTTTTGAATGAATATTGATAACAAGAAAATCTCACACCACATCAGATTTTATTTTTAGAAGCACTAAGAGTGAATAACTCTGGATTACATAATATTTATACAAAAAATAATAATGACTGTAAAGATCACATTGTCTCTCAAAACTGTTACTGCCCCGTACTAATAAGGAATCCATTTACGTGTTACGTATTTTAATAAAAATCATAACTGAAAAAGTTTTCTGAAAAACATTGAATACATTCTTTAATTTGCAATTCATGTCTAAAGAATGAAAACAGTTCTTAAAGATAGATATGAAAAATATATTTTTCTTAATACATTAAAAGCTAATTTATACTGAAAAAATATTAATTTTAGTAAAAGTTGTGTATTTGATTTTTAAATTTATCCGTGTCTTTAACAAGATTTCAAAACAACAGTTTCATAAAAAAATATATTAAAAAATGTTACCTGTTGTATTAGAATGCGTTATTTCGTCTTTGTAAAAATATGTCGTTTCACATGAGACATGTTTGTAAACTCGGCAGCATTCTAGTACTTTTCCTGCTAATTCTTGATGGGTGTGTGTGTGCTGTTATTAGTTAATAATACATAAGAATAGGAATTATGCCCCCTGGCAAGGTGGGGGCCTCATCTGTGTCTAATGATAAAAACGTGATCGCTTCTGACTACAGAAATCATGAATTAAAGAGTACCATGAAGCCAACGGTTACAGTAACTGATAATGTTTCCCCATCATACGCCGCCGTTACTCAGACTGTTTTATTTCCTACGAAAGAATAAGCAATAGTTATGGATGCGATTGAAGGCATCACCATTAACCCCTTCGCTACGGGCGGGTTCTCCACCGCGGTACTTCTGCTGAACGGAGCGCCGCGACATCACTGCACGCTACGCGCCGCCGATCGTCAGCGAGAGTACCGCGATGGAGAACCCAAGCTGCTTGAATGTTTTCGGACGAAAAAATTTTTCTCCAAAGGGTATTTATAAATAAAGAGTATTCCAGGGTATTTATAACGTCTTAGTATGCGCTCTTTAATTTATAATATGAGAGGAAGTAACATTATGCAATATAATATAATATAATAAAACAATATAACATATTATAACACAATTCTACAAATAATACAAATAATACAACATAATATAATACAATTCTAATAATGTAACTGCGTATGATATTGTTTGGTAAATGTTCGGTAATCGGTGAAGCGGACTCGGGAACTCGGGGGGGTTTTCAATAACCCGGTCAAATAAATTTTACACCGTTTATTTAACACAAGAAAAACCACAAAACGAAATTGCACACACTACACGCACACGACGACACGACGAAGAAATAATTAGAAAAGTACGATCGAAATGGTAATGTTCGGTTTCGTGCACCGCGTGTTTACTGCTCGGGATTATAACGTCTTCTATTGACACCGGTTGGCTTGGTACTCTTTCTCGCGAGGGTCGGGCGATCACTTAAATTCGGGAATCCACGGTAATTGTCGTCATCACGGCCCAATCAGCTGTTGCTTATTAGACATGACGACGACGGGACCCAATAAATTTCATACCGGTAACGGGGGGTTCTCGGTGTCTCTCGATCCTTCGAGAATGCACCGAAAGAGATCTTCCGGTGCGTCCAGGAGGACGAGAGACAGAAAACTTCACGGTTGGGATTTGAATTCAGGGATCGCCCTCTCCTACTTGCCTAGATACGGAACAAATATTTTTTAAAGCATGGTGTTACACACGGGCCAACATTGCAAATTTCGCATTGGTGTCGCGACCTCTTTCTCTTGTCATTTCTTGAACAAACTACACACTTTCGCAGCTGATTTTTCCGTTTTGGATTTTCATTTGTGTATAGCGATGGGAAGTGGTTTCCAGCAAGGCGAAGTGGATTCGTTTCCCCTGATTTATTTGCAATGGTATTCTTACTGTCAGATTGATAACGACTTAAAAGTTGACGAATTAACTCTAGGTGAAAGCTTGCCATTGATATTTGTTTTCCAGTTTTTAACTTATATAGGCAATAAGCATTCCAAAGGCATATGTCAATTAAGTGAAAAAAATATTTTTTGTACCATTTCAATGCTTTGCGTTCTGAGTGAATGGTGCTGATGGCCATATCTGTTTTATTAACAGCTCCCATTAATTTATTATAATCAACAACGCACTTTGGCTTCATAATCATTTCTCGAGTCCGATAATGACGTTTCGTTTCAACGAATTCTTCGCTATGGAAAGAGGATGTTAGGACTTGTCAACGCATGGCTATGTGCGGATGTTGTGGCAAGCATGATGTATGAAGTTTGATGCGTAAAATTGTGGGAGTCCCCGTCTTTTGTTTCTTCCCCGACTCTCTCTCTCTGTCCTGATATAGAATGTGCGCCGCGTGTCTTTTTCACCTTCTTGATATAATAAACTAATTCAGTGATATAAAGGTAATATTAATTTTATTTAAACCCATAATTCTAACAGAGGATAGCATGTATACTTCTCTTTTATCACACCATCTCATCGCTAATAAATACTTCGAGGAGCGAAAACTCGCTTCACCAGTTTTTAATTTATTTTGGATAACTGGTATGCCTTTTCGCCTTTTACGTACTGTTCCACAAGCGTTAGTTTGATTACGATGCAAAAGAATAAAAAGTGCGGGGCTTGTATACCAATTGTCTACGTATAACGTATGGCCTTTGCCTAAATAAGGTTTTAGTAATTCCAGTACTATGTTTCCTAACTTTCCAATAAATTCATTTACGCAGTCTACAGTGGTTAATGAGCCATTATAAATAATGAAATCCTGTACAAATCCAGATTTGGTATCGTATAAAACAAATGATTTTATTCCAAATCTGTTTCTTTTAGGGGGTATATATTGCTTAAATGATAACCTTCCTTTGTACAGAAGTAAGCTTTCGTCAATACATAAATTTTGAAAAGGATAAAATGCCTCCTGAAAACGTTGTCGCAGCTTATCACAAATTTCCCTTATTTTATATAATTTATCAACATCTGCAGTCACATTGTTCGTATTAAAATATAAAATTTTAAGCAAATATAAAAACCGATCTCTACTCATCACCTCTCCAAAAATGTTGCTCCTCAAAAGTTTGTCGTTAGACCAGTATTCAGAATATTTTAGATTTTTATTTCGCGACATCAAAAATTTGAGGGCAAGAAAGCAATACATCTCTGGGAGGGAAGTATTTTGTGAATTTATTGTATTATGATTCTTATCAAGGCTACTGCAGTAACTGTTTGTCGTGCCGACAATGAAACTTATAAAATCTTCAGAGCAGAACAATTGAAAATAATCTAAAATCGATGCCGAATACCTAATTGACGCCTTTATTCCGGAATGCTGGGAATTGCATTCATGGAAAGTCGGTTGAAATAAGTCGCTGGCCCATCTAATATCTGTGAGATCTTTTTCAGATTTAGATGAACAGTCTTCTTCGTATTCGGGTGTGATGGACCTCATTTCTCGAAATCTTCTACTATTTCTATGAGGTCCCTCTCTTGCCAAATTTGAATTTATCTCGTCACCTTCTGACAGATCCGAATAATTGTTGCTTTCGTCAATAAGTCTTTTTTTGTTATTTGTCGTCATTTTAGGGGCGAGATAAAATCTATTCAGAAATAATAATTAATCTAAATAAAATTTTAAAAAAATTGAAAAGCGATAAGGCATACCTGTTTTATATAATTTATATTATTATACCTATTTTTATATTATGTATATGAAGATGAATTATCTTTTTGCAGTAAGTACTGACTTTATTCGCTACGAACGATCGAACAGCTACTGAATCGAGACTGATTGTCGAGGTATATCGGTTGCTAAGCAGTTTGTTATTTCGGTTGTCAGCAACAAATGATGCAAAAAAAACACTATCAGTGCATGCCCAGAGTCAGAAACTTATGCAAAACGGTTGGCCGCAATAGCTCAGTGGCATCTTGCGGAGAGGCCACTATAGTGGCCCGTAGTAGCGAAAGGGTTAAAGAATATACCATGGCTGTAGCTAAAGTAATCTCTCCTGTTAATATCAGATTTGCATCAAGGATTTCCAACGGCAGAATCTGTATGTATATCGTCAACCAATAGCTAGTAGAAAAAATCACAGACAGCAGTATAAACATCAACGTCGGTACTTAAGTGCTTCGAATTCGACCACTGATTTCCAAGGCTAAGCGAATAATATTATCTAATGTGTGCCCTATACTTCCCCACGTTATAATTGAAAAGAAGCTAACAGATATGGGCGTTAAATGCACCTCGCAATTAACATTTATTAAAGCAGGCATGAATGATCCAGGGTTTTCTCATATTCTAAGTTTTCGACGTTAAATCTATATAGACCCTAGCGATGTATCTAAACTGCCTGACAGTATGCAAATTGAGTATGATAGTGTAACTTATTGGATTTACGTTTCAACAAACAACCCAAAATGTTTTATCTGCAAAAAAGACAATCATTTAGCCAAGCAGTGTCCAAATGTCGAAACTACTGTGAAACCTTCTATTACCCGAACACAGAATATCAATTGTGACGATGCTGTAGTTACCGATGACATTATTGAAGAAGCTATAGGCGAAGATAATAGAACTAGTAGAATTGGTAAAAGACCTCTATCGACTACTAATTCGGGTTCTACGCCTATTAAAGTCGAAGAAACTTCAAATCTTTCATCAGACGAATCCGATTCTAAATAGAGCAACCACCAAGTTCGTAAAGATATTCGCAAGAAAACCTTAAAGAAAATACGGACAGATTTGGCATGTAGCGACCAGGAAACCAACATGGATGTATTAACTACACCGATCAGAGATTTTCTCATCGAACATCCGAATGTTTATGTATTGGATTATAACTCGTTGAATAACTTCCTTCGAAAAACCATTGGTAATTCCAAGCTAAGAAATATACAGAAATATAGCCAAGAAATATACAGATGATATTAAAGATCTAAGTAGCATGTTACGTGAACTCTACCCGAAACTAACACACCGTAATATTAAAAATCGGCTGACTAGAATTATTAAAAAGCTAGAAAATTGCGACACCGATCAGGACACAGTTTTCGATTCAACATAACTACTTCAATATGGACCAGCAAGATTGTGGAGGCATCAGTTCGTCACAACTGAATATTTTGTACTGGAACGCCAGACGTATTATGCAACGAAAGGAAGAATTAGAACATATAATTAAAAAAACTGATATTTTCATATGTGTCGAAACCTGGTTAAAACCAGAGCTCAGAATAGCTTTTAAGAGTTTCAATGTGGTTCGTAATGATAGAAAGGGAGGTGGTATTGCTATCTTTATTAAAAAATCTATCAATTACAGTATTCTGCCAAACTTTGGATCTTTTGACAACCGTATAGAAACTTGTATTGTTAAACTAACGAACACTTCCCCTCCAATTAATCTTGTAGCATTTTACAGGCCTCAAGGTCCCTCACTAAGTTAAAACAATTGGGACAGGATTATGCAGTCAATTTCAAATTTGCATCCATGTTTACTTGTTGGTGATTTCAATGCACATAATATAGCGTGGAATTGTACAAATAACGACGTTAACGGTGAAAGGTTGCTCAATAGTTTGCTTTTCCATGATATTCTAGACCATGATATTTTTCTGCATAATTCGGATACTTTTACTTGGTTTGATTATATTATAACAGTATCAAGTCCAACATTGACCTAGTATTCACCACTCCGGATCTAGCTGACAAAACTCATTTTGAAATCTTAGATTATACTCGTGGATCTGACCATTGTCTCATTGATATAAAAAATAATGTCGAAAAAGCTAAGCATATTTACAGAAAAACAACAAACAGATTGTCCTAAAAAAAAAAACGGATTGGAACAAGTATCAAGAAAGCTTATCAGAAAGCTTCTTTCTGTTTTTGTCACCCGAGTTTAATGGATTGGATTGTGGAGAAAAGTATGATTTTTTTATTAGTCACATAAAAGAAATTCTCAAAGCAATACACCGCCGAAGAGGGCGGTTGACGATAATAAGCATCATAATTCTGTTCCGTGGTGGGATACGGACTGTGATTAAGCCAAATGTTAGAAAATTCCCAATGACTCACCCCAATAAAGCAGGGACGATGGGCACATGGCCGTCCTACGACAACCACCACGGGGTAGAGGCCTGACGCTGTGACGTCTGGGCCATAAAACAACCCTGGGGCCTCAAGTTCCGCGGGGACTAGGAAACCTCACGGAACGGGAAGAGGGCATTCGTCTAGAGACCTTTGGAGGGCCAGACCTTGGAAAGGCATCCTTCTCTTGAGGACTCTACTTCGCCTACGGAATCTGTTTATATAATATATATAGTATTTTTGAAATCGAACTCAGCTAGCGTGTCAAGCATTTTCTACCTCGTCTTACACAAAAGACTGAGAAAAGTGGCCTATAAGAAATGGCAGCATACGCTCCAAATTACAAAAAACATGTTGCCATGGCAACAAAGGAGTTTAAACAAAAGAAAAGGGCTTGTTGTCGTAGTATTGGGATTATGGAACCAAGGTGTTATTTAATAAAACACAGTTATTATATTTTAAGAATGAAAATGAATCAGTGAACTCTTTTGAATATTCTTTACTAGATGCTTTCTCGAGACGTGCGCTTTTCAGACTAGTCCTCGGACCGTTTTCCCTCGTGCTCGAGAGGTCCCACGCCTCATTGATACTTTTGTATATCTCAGCATGCTTACACTAAAAGGACCGTCTTGGACGACGCAGTTCGTCGAGTTCCTAATTAGACAGGATGTTTATACCTTGCCTTTAAAATAAACTATATGTAGAAGAAATAACGTGGGATTGATTCTTGTATATTCCAACACGTAGTTTTGTAAAAAATTTTGATGTTAAAAAAGGTAATACTTATTTTTGGGATACTTGTAGAAAGTTGAATAATAAGTGGACGTACACTGGAAGAAAGAGAATGTCCTTCCAACCAGTTCTTTGACAAACCGTTTGACTTCATTAAGTTTAACTTCGCATTGGATTATAAGAATGATAAATCGGCGCCAAGAGCCGATGGCATTGATTACATGTCTCTTAAATGTCTGCCCACCAATATTAAGCTTGTCCTATTGGACATCTTCAATGAAATGTAGTTTGACAATTGTTATCCTCAAGAATGGCGGTCAGTCCAGATGTTCTTCGTTGACAAGCCCAATAAATCTAGTGTTAGACCTATTTCTCTTTCTTCCTGTGTATGCAAACTGTTTGAAAGTCTGATAAAAAATAGATTGGAATGGTGGTTGGAAAGTCAGAACAAGCTACCTGGGTCCCAGTCAGGTTTTCGGAAAGGTAGGTCGTGTTCTGATAATCTAGTCACCTTGCAAACCAGTATAGAAATTGCAATGCAGGAGGGTAAGGGCACTCTAGCAACATTTTTGGATGTGCAATCGGCTTTTGACAATGTTGATTGTACTTTACTTGTTCGAATGCTAGCTAAAGCAGGTCGTTCTCTCAGTATTATTAAATTCATTAAGCACTTAATATTTGAAAGGATTATCTCGGTTATTGGAGGACTGTGTTACAAGAACGATAGGACGGGGTCTCCCGCAAGGAGGGGTACTGACAATGAGTCCTCTATTATACGTTTTCTATGTTGCCGATATTACCAAGGATGTCCCAGACAATATTCAGATTTCACAATTTGCTGACATGGGCGTCTATTGTAATACTGATACAATTAGCGAAAGTAAAAGTTTACTTGTAAAAACAATTAAAATTATCAGAACTAATCTTACAAGGGAACATATCCAACCCAGACACGCCGATTTTGATGAAACTTATGTGAGATATAGTTCTCAAAAAAATATTTGACACATATTTTTTTTTATCGGCAATCGTGCATGTTGAATTAAAGAAGATAATTGGATTCTTTTTTTGTAAATTGTTGGTCTTTAAATAGGGAACTTTTGTGCGTAAAAAAATTTCAATAAACTTTATTTGTTTAAATAATATTTCGAAAATTAAAAGTTTTTGTTAAAATTTTTGCACTAAATGTTGATCCATTTTTTTGCAACTTCGTGTACGTAAACTATGGACAAAAATAGAGGATACGTGTTTTTGGAATTTGTTCTTTGTTGCAATGTTTATTAGATATTGTAAGCGGTTACTCCGTATCGTTGGCCATAGACCGTAGCGGGTACGGGTGCGGCGAGGGGGACGCCTAGGCGTCGATGCATCGCGATGCGTTTTGTTTTGGAGCACGGCATTTTTTCGTGCGACGAACAGTCTCGTCAGAACCGTAAAACAATAAAGATCATTTCCTTTGTCTCGTAAAATATTTATTTAATAAATATCCCTCGACCTCCTACAATATATAATTTAAAATCACCTCCTGTGAAGAGGGACAATCAGCATTTTTATTAAAAATATCATTATTTTTACAATCTTTTACAATATTTTAGACATTTGATACCTCTTCATATGCCGTTAATTGATTTCTGAATAATTATTGTAAGCATGTATGAGCGTGACGCGGTTATAATCATCGATGCAAGGAACATAGTCTTTTATGGCTAATACTGCTTTTATACTTTTACAGGCGTAAAGACTTTATTCTAAATAAAATA